ATGACGCTGTCTCTGAGGGCAGGGGTGGGGACAATAAGCGGGGACTCCAAGGTCCTTCCAGTTTCCAACACAGACAAGTCATGATGGGATCTTAAGACTTCTTTCTGATAGGAAGGTCAGAGCTATCAGAAGCTTCTGGAAGAATTCAAGCACCTGGAAAGGCTTCAGAATCAATGACTGTGTCTGAGGGGGAGAAGGGCCTGGGCTCCAGGACTCAGGCCTCTGGGGATGTGCTGGGGTCTGAGGCAGAGGTGGGGAGAGGGGTGGGGGTTGGGTCCCCTGTGTCTCAGGCCTCTGAAGGGGAGGTTGAGGAGCTGTGCCATTTGCCACCTAGGGCTCAGATGAGCTGACACCCTTGATCCCCTCCAGACAGGGGAACTGAAACCCCGTCTGTCACCCACATGCACGGCCTGGTCGGGAGGTGGCTGGGCAGAGATGACCCCTCATTACCCAGAGGAGCTCCCCCACCCACACTGCCAGCAACTTCTGAGGCCAAAGCAAACAGCCTGGGCCCAGCTGGCACTGAGGCTCCCTTTCTGAGAGGAGGCATTTGGCCTCCCCTGACCCCATGGAATCCGAGGTTCCCACACCCTGGAGGGACCAGGAACAAATCCCAGCTCCTCCAATTCCTCCTGTGTGGCTTCACCATCCACCTCATCCCTGAACCTTGGTCTGTCATCTGTGAAACAGCTGGGATTCATGTAACAGGGCTGCTGGGAAGGTGACAGCGTTGGAGCGCTCTTCGTGGCCACTCACAGCAGTCAGCTCTTAATACAGGACCCACTGTGTCCCAGGACTGTCCTCAGGACTTCCCACATCCAGTAGCTTGTTTCATCAGCAAACCACTGTGTAAGTGTAGCTAGTTCCTGGTTCTGTGGACCAAGAAACTGGATGTTCAGAGAGGCTAGGTCATTTGCCCAAGGTCACACAGCTGGCAGCCCATATTCAGGCCCGGACCATTTGGTTCCAGAGTCTGCAGTCCTAACTGAGCAACAGGAATGCTTTGTGCCCCGAAAAAGGCACAGTCTGTGGGCTTCTGGAATCCACAATGCTAGGTTTAGGGCAAAATGCTGGCTTTTCATTTTATAAATGGAAAAAGGGGCTCTGAGAGGTTCTTCCCTGTGCCCAAGGTCATAGCCAAAGAGGGAGCCAGGCTTAAAACCCAGGTTGCACTTTCAAAGCCTCTGCTTTTAGCAGATGCTTTTCACTGTCTCCACCCCTCCTGTCCCATTTCTGTCTGGGCCCCCAGCCCCTGCTCTCTGAGACCTCAGGAATCCAAGCCCCCAGCCCCTTCCTTCCTGTGCTCCAGGATTTCCGGCCCCCCGCCCCCTCCTCAAATGTTATTCATCCACAGAAAAAGAGAGGGGCAGGGAATGGGGGTTCTGGGCAGCTGCCAGCTCCTGTCCATTCCATACCCAGCCTCCCAGAATTGGGTGAGATGTCACCTCCCTTCGTGAGGACTGTTGGGGGGGGTCACAGGGCCTGCGAGCCCCACCTCCTTCCCCCTTCCTGCTGTGCTAAGGGGGGAACAGCCCACCTCGTGACTGGGGGCCGGCCCAGCTGGTCCTAACTCGGGAGGAGTAGGCGGGGCAGGGGGCAGCCCTTTAATTGGACGAGTCTGGATCCCTGAGTTTTATTCAGCCCCAGCGGAGGCAAAGGACACGGTTCCCCAGGACTGGTGAGAAGCAGAGCGGGGGGGGGGGGGGGGCACAGATTCCAGCTTAGGGCTTCTGTGGGGGACGGGCTTCGGGGAGAGGAGGTGACTGTCCTATGGGACGGGACAGAAGTGGGAGCTGGGGATGAGGCAAGGGGACCGGAGCTACGGGAGGGGTGGGTCTCAGGGGCTTCCCGCCTTGGCTGGAAGGTGGCGTGGGGGGAGCACCTTGGCCTGTAGGAAGACCCGGATGAGCCATAGCAAAAGCCACGAATTGAGACTGTCATTTATTAAGCGCCTGCTGGGTGCCCCCATCGTCCTCAGATCTCCATTAATTGTAGGCGCAGAGGTGGCGGCGGGGCAGCTAGAGCGTCGATTGAAGGCGCACTTTTAAATGAGGATTAAATTAGCTAATGTATGGAAGATGGCACTTGATGTGAAGTTGGAGCTTAGAATGTGAAGGTAGAACGAGGAATGCGAGGTTGGAATTTAGAAAGCCCTGTTGGGACTCACCGGGAACTCGGGGCAGAGTGAGTGGAATTTGAACCCTGGGAGAGGGGGATGGAATTTGGGAGGCGGAGGCGGACCCGGGGATGGGGAGATAGGAGAAGACAGGAGGGATCTAAATAGACAAGGGAGGGGCCTCGGTAAATGTTTGTGATTGGATTAAGCTGATGCCCATCTGGGGCGGGGGCAAGGCTTTGAAGACCGGGGGCAGCGGGGCTCTGGGTGGGAAGAGTCCTACTGGCTGTTGATTGACAGTGTCTCCCTCCCGCAGGTTGACCAATCGCAGACGGCAAGATGAAGGTTCTGTGGGCTGCGTTGGTGGTTACGCTCCTGGCAGGTATGGGGCCGGGGCATGCTCAGGCTCCCTGCCGCTCCCCCTCCCGTCCTCCCGTGGACTCCCTGCCCCCCTTCCGTCCCTGGGTCCCCTCTTCTGCTGGTCTGTCGCCCCCTTGAGGGGAGGCCCAGGTCTGAGGCCTCTTCTGACATTCACTGACTCTGAGCCGCCATTTTCCTCTCTTTGGGCCTCAGTTTCCCCATCCTTAAAATGGGAGTTATCACAGTTTCTAATGCATTGTTGTGAGGCAGGTAATGAGCATTAGATAAGTGTCAGCTGGGATTATTTTAATACTCCATCACCCCAGCATGGCCCTACGTGAAGCACAGACAGATCCCCTCAATAAATGCATGTCAAGTGATTAAATAGGCCGGGCGTCCCTCCACCCGCTCCTTGCCCACTCGTGCGCTGGAGAAGCGCATGAGCATTTGTGGAGCACCTACTGTATACCAGGTACTGTGTGCCTGGAGCGGGCAAACAGCCCTGATCCCCGGGAACTTGCTCTGCACAGGATGCGGGGCCGACGTGGAGCCGGGGCCCGAGGTGCAGCTGGGGAAGGAGTGGGCCACGTGGCAGGCCAGCCAGCCCTGGGAGCAGGCCTTGGGCCGCTTCTGGAACTATCTGCGCTGGGTGCAGACGCTGTCCGAGCAGGTGCAGGAGCAGCTGCTGAGCAGCCAGGTCACCGAGGAACTGACGTGAGTGTCCCCCCCTGGCCCCTGACCCTCCTGGTGGGCAGTTCCTTCTGGACTCAGCCCCCACTGGTCTGGGTTTCTTTCTGTCCCTGTCACCAACTCTTAGTGGTCTCTGTTCATTTCTTGCTTCCTTTTTCCATTCGAGCCCCTGGCCTTCCCTCTCTCTGATTCTGTCTCCCTCCATCACGCTAGCTTGGTCGCTCACACTCCTCCCTCCCATCTCTGCTTCCGTCTTGGCCCTTCCTCCTCTCCCGTCTCTCCCTCTCGGGGTCTCTCTGTCCCCATCTTGCCCTCCACCGCCGGGTCTTTCTCCCTCTCCACGCACACGCTCCGCCCTCTCGGCCCCCAGGGCGCTGATGGACGACACCATGAAGGAGGTGAAGGCTTGCCAGTCGGAGCTGGAGGAGCAGCTGGGCCCCGTGACCGAGGAGACGAAGGCCCGCGTGTCCAAGGAGCTGCAGGCGGCCCAGGCCCGGCTGGGGGCGGACATGGAGGAGGTGCGCAGCCGCCTGGCGCAGTACCGCGGCGAGCTGCAGGCCATGGTGGGCCAGAGCACCGAGGAGCTGCGGGGGCGCCTGAGCGCCCACCTGCGCAAGATGCGCAAGAGGCTGCTCCGCGACGCCGAGGACCTGCAGCGGCGCCTGGCGGTGTACCAGGCCGGGATCTGGGAGGGCGCCGAGCGCAGCGTGAACACGCTCCGCGAGCACCTGGGGCCGCTGGCGGAGCAGGCCGCCACCGTGCACACCCTGGTCAGCAAGCCGCTGCAGGAGCGGGCCGAGGCCTGGGCCCAGCGGCTGCGCGGGCGGCTGGAGAAGGCGGGCTTCCCGGTGGGGGACCGCCTGGACGAGGTGCGTGAGCAGGTGCAGGAGGTGCGGGCCAAGGTGGAGGAGCAGGCCAACCAGGTGCGCCTGCAGGCCGAGGCCTTCCAGGGCCGCCTCAAGAGCTGGTTCGAGCCCCTCGTGCAAGACATGCAGCAAAAGTGGGCCGAGCTGGTGGAGAAGGTGCAGTTGGCCGTGGGCGCCGTGCCCACCTCTGTGCCCAGTGAGAAGCAGTGAGCGCCCTGCCCCCGCTCCTGCGCCACGCCCCCTGCCTCCCCCCAGCCTGCAGGAGACGCCCTCCCTACCCCGGCTGTCCTCCTGGTGGGCCCTGGATTAATAAAGATGCATGGAGCTTTACGGCAGCTGCTGGGTGTGCGTGTCTGATTTCTCACGGCTCAAGCCTCGGCTTCTCTTTCCCGCCCCACAGGGGCCACACAGTTCCGTCTCCTGTCCCCTCTGCCCATGTGTGTCTGCTGCTTTCTCTTACATCTCTCAGTCTCTGCTTCCTTCTGTCCCCGTTCTGAGCCTTCCCTTTTTCCAGTGTCTCTGCTCATTACTCTTCACTCTCGCTTCTCTGCCTCTGTTTCCATTCTGTCTCCAGGAAACAAGTCCTACAACAAATCCACCCCTGGGCAAAAAAGCAACCTCTCCCGGCCTCGGTTTGCCCACCTTCACCTGCTGACACCTGCTTCAGAAAGGTGCTGTAACTCAAAGACCTGAGGCCACCGTCATGGTGAAGCCACTGTGGTTTTTTCCCACTCTCGTTCTCCCTGTTTGAGCTGATTCTGCTCCTGCCCCTCCTGGCCTCTGTCTCAGTCCTGCTCTCCCTAAGGGGCTTCATTTTTCTGCTTTCTGTCTTCTTTCACCTCTCTCTGTGCTCTCTCCCTCCTCTGGTTTTTCTTGCCCCCCGCCCTGCTTGTTTCCTTTTTCCCTTCTCGCTCCTTCCTCCAGGTGTGTCTTCCCCACCATTCTCTTGTCCTTGGGCCCTCTGCCTGTCTCCCTCCTGCTGGGTTAGCAAGTCCCTTCCCTCTGAGCTGTGCCTCCCTGTCCTCTGTTCTCATTCTCCTTCCTTCTCTCCTCTGGCTGGGATGTGGACCTATTGTCTATCCCGACAAGGCTACTGGGAGCTGGGTCCAGGCCGCAGAGGGAAGGGATAGGACACCCTGGGAGGGGCTGCACTGCCCCATGGAGGTCAGGACTGGGGGATCGAGATGAGAGTTAACACTCAGAGAAGCAAGGTATAGATGCAAATAATCCATAAATCAAAATTGGGGTGAGTTTATTATGAGCCAAATTTGAGGACCATATAGCCCAGGGCCTCCCTTCCCCAAAGAAGGAAGGGCATCAAAGAAGAGGGGTGTACAGAGTGGTTGTATACCGTCAAAGAGCATGTATCACATATGATTGCAATGTCCCTTTTACAACAGTCATGAGATTGCCCTGTCGGCACAGCGACTGATGGGCACAGCAGGTACCAGGTCTCCTGTCTCAAGTCGGGTGGTCACAGGATGAGCACAGCAATCAAATCCTAGCCTAGGGAGAAATGCTCATGCTTAGGAAATGCCAATGTGGGGGAAGTTGCATCCTTATCTTAAGGGCATTTGTTCTTGTCTTTGGGACATGGTAAATGCTTAAAGCAGATATACAATGCAAGTTCAAAGGCCACAGGACCTTTTGGAAAAACAAGGTCAAGCCGAATTAGTTTTACACCAATTGGCTTCCTCATATGCTCCAATATATCCTATTGCTTGCCATTTATTTATCAAAGGGTTGAAGCCGCGAGCCACCAAGGCTCTCCTCTTCCACGCCCTCAGTTCTCAGAGGAAGGGAGCAGGGTTCCCACCACAGGGGACAGGCCAGGCCTGCCCTTCTCCACGTCCCTCTGCCTGCTTGGGCTCCTGCACACTCTGCACCACGAGAGCTTCCCAGCCCCGCCTTGAGTGCCCAGTGGAGGCGGCTCCCCCCAACAGATGACTCACCCAGAGCTGAGTCAGGAGGGGAAGGGTCAGAGGGCTCAGAGGCCAGGGGCCTGGTCCCCGCTCAGCATTCCACTGTTCCCTGTGTGCCCTGGGGCTGGGGCCACCCCTCTCAGCCTGTTCCCCCAGGCGTCAGGGAGAGAGGGGACACCAGCCATGTGTCTCCCTGGAAGAGCTGAATTCTGAATCCTCACAGAGGAGAGTCTGAGCAGAGAGCGGTGTCCCCACTCGCCACAGCCCCAGTCAGCTCTACCCGAGGAACAGGGGCTGGGGAAGGAGCTCAGGGGAACACAGGCTGGCAGGGGTGCTGGGGGGTGGAGGCTGATCCGAGCAGGGGTCCAGAGACACAGCCTGAAGTCCAGGAAGGGGAGGGACAAAAGGCCCGCATCCCACTTAGCCACTCACTGAGCCATTGAATGGTCTAGGCTGTGCCTCAGTTTCCCCAGGGTAAACAGAAACCCCTATAGCTGAGATGAGGATGGGACTGGAAAAACCAAGTTGTCATTCTCTTCCTTTGGGGCGGGGCAGGAGGGGCAGACAGTCAGGTGGGTGTCTGGGGGGGCTGGCTCACCAGGGAAGCAGATGTCAGGGAAGGCAGCTGGGGGCTGACAGGGACCACAAGTGCTGAGCTGGCCAGAGGGGTGTTGCAATCCTGCCAGGATAGTGACTGTGTGTCGCTTTCATCTCCAGGCTGACTCGTGGTTGTGGGGGCTGGAGGCCAGCCAAGCTAGAGTCTGGTGCCGGGACCCAACCCGCAGCTGCCAGGGGTCACTGGCGGTCAGAGGCAGCTGAGAAGTGGGGGAAGCACTGGATCCAGCCCTGGGAGGCTGATGGGGTGCTGGGAGGGAAATGGAGGGTGTTTGGTGCCTGGAGGGGCTTGAGAGGGGGAAGAAAAGCAGATGGAGTGTTTACAGGGGCCCTGAAGCCTTGGAGATGGGGGAGCAAGGGAAGAGGGGACCTGGGAGAATGGACGGAGGGGCACACACTGGGAGCCTTGCAGCTGAGGTTTTGCAGTACAGACAGGCTGAAAAGACCCCTCCCCGAAAGGGAGAGTGGGGGCTGTGGAGACCCCAGGGAGCATCCAGGGAGGGCTGCATGCTCCCAGATGCAAGTTGTGGGACTTGAGGAGCAAGTCTGAGAGTGAGATTGGAGGTGCTGTGGTGGTAGTAGGAGTCGGGGGCAGACTGTGTGACGCCAGAGTGTGGAGTGGGAGTTGTTTGGGCTTGATGGGGTCCAGGGAAGGCTGCCCCAAGATGTGCCACTCTGGTATAAGGATTATTTCGAGACGAAGACAATAAAGGCTCAGAAGACTCAGAAAGAAACTTGGACCTCCCCCTCTACTAACTGCCTAAAAGAATTTAAGATACAAGGCCTGTCCCCAGGACAGGCCATCACCATAGATGTCTCTGGGTATAGATAGACTGGGATGGTCCTTGCTAAACCCATTCTTATCAAAGCTCTGAAAACCAAGTAAAAGTAGAAGTTACCCTTTGTAAGAGACATTTACCTTTATAAGGGAAATCTCCATTTGTAAAGGTATCTCCCTCTCTGTACCGGGAAGAAGGGGGGATGACCTCATCTGTAGAAACTCTTATCAGTGTGGAAGGGGAGGACTTAAATCTGCATATTAGCCTTACTCTTGGTTACTGTGCTTTTCTGGTGATCTCCCATAGCTGACCACCCCCCAACATCCTCCTTTGTCTTGAACTGAAGATAGTATTGAAGAGGAGAACCTCCGCCATTTTGTCATTACCCAGGTTCTCCTGGGTCTCTCTCATGTATACATGTGATAAAGCTTTGTTTGATTTTCTCCTGTTAATCTGTCTCATGTCAATTTAATTTGTAGCCCAGCCAGAAAGGACCCAGAGTGGGTAGAGATTAGTCTTCCTCCCTTTCAGGCTGAAGAGGCTTGTGAAGAAGGGGGCGAGGAAGGAAGAGGGGCCTGGGGGTACACTGTGAACTGATTCCTGAGTCACCCAGAGAGAGACTGAGAGCCCACTGAGGCTGGGGGAAGGGGCTGCAGCAGGAGGGGAGGGTGGGGACTGTCCCCTGGGGGGAAGGGCTGGAGCAGGCTGAGGTCCCCACAGTCAGGGAGATTTGGAGGTGCGGGTGATGAACAGCAAGAGGCTTTGGGCCAAAGGGACCCGACCCACCCCCACCAGCAAGGTGCCCAAATGGAAAAGGTGAGAGGACACGGGGAGGCAGGCCCAGGGGAGGCCCAGGGGAGGGAAGGCAACCTGCCCCACCCCTCCCCAGCCTAATAAAGGCCCAGGCCAGCCAGGCTCCCTCACCTCACCTGTCCCTCACTGGTCCAGGCAGGTGCTCACCTGTCCCTCACTGGTCCAGGTAGGTGCTCACCTGTTCTGTCCATCATTGGTCCAGGCAGGTGCTCACCTGTCCTGTCCCTCACTGGTCCAGGTAGGTGCTCATTGACTTGCCGGGAGGGACCTGGGGGAGGGAGAAGGGTCTCACTGATCACCCCCATCCTTGCCTCTGCCTCCAGAGTGCCCTCCCACCAGCCATGAGGCTCCTCCTGTCCCTCCCGGTCCTGCTGGTGGCTCTGTGGATGGTCTGCGAAGGTAAAAGAGGAGAGGAGACTCTGGGAGATTGAGATGGGGGAGTGGGAAGCTGGCCACGGGCCTGGGGTCCAGGCTTAGAGGACCCTTGAGAGCTCTGGGGCCCCTCCTGTAACCTGGTTCCCCTACTTTCCACCGATCACCCCCACCCCCCACCCCGCCTGCTGGGTCTCAGGATCTCTAAAAGGCAGTCTAGTGGGTGGGAAATCTGCCCGGTGGAGCCCTAGCAACTGATGACGTACTGACTCTCACCCCTCCAGGATTGGCTGTCTTGCTTTTACAGCCTGGCAAGGTCCGTGGGGGGAGGTGTCTAGTGGTGACAGTAAGGCAATTCCAGCAGCTTGAGTCCCACCAGGGTGCGCCACTACCCTCCCCACAGTCTAACACCATGATTCCCAGGGATCTCCTTTCCCGTCCCTGGAATCTCATCCTAAATCCTCCCAATACTGAAATGTTTGCACCCCTACCCATCTGCTGGGCAGGCCCAGCTCCAGCCCAAGCTGACCCAGAGCCAGCCGGGATCTTCGATTTCATCTCGGGTGTGCTGAAGAAGATTGGAAGGAGCCTGGGGAAGAACACCCTGAAATCCATCAGCAAGATCAACAAGAAGGATGTTGCTAAATTGACCTGGTCAGGACTCTTCCCGGGGCATGGGAGGGCAGGGGTGTATCGATGAACACATTGGGGAAACTGAGGCTGGGAGAGGCTGACAAGGTC